ACTCTATAATCATGCATCTTTTATTACCACCATAAGGCCATCTATTTTTTTTTTAGTAAAAATTTTTTATTTAACAAAAATTTATTTAATATAAATATCATTAAGATCAACAAACCTTGGTGGCAAAGAAAACCAATTAAAAGCTGAACCAAAAAGGCTTCTACGAAAAATATATTCAGTTGATGCCTCCAATTGATGAGATTGTATTAATTTAAACCCGTTAATAAGAATTTGTAGTCTTCCTTCAAGTGATAGAGTATGATTGCTATTATAACAAAGTAAATTAGTACTTTTTTATATTATTATCAATACCCAAACACAAAACAATAGATAATTACCTCAAAGTGCTGGATGCATTTAATGTTTTTAGAAAAAGTCTGATATAAAGTTGTACTAATTCAGTACTTCTATAATGAAAGGCTTGGAAACGATCAGCCAAGAAATTTATCCAGATAAGATGTGGACTGAATAAATTCCTTGCAATTTTATTGGTTTTTTCCTGTGTGGCCTTGTCAGAAGGTGCATATTGCATTTTATTTACAAATGGACCCCTTACACTATATATATATATATAAATAATATATATAAATATATATATATAATGATGACTAATATAATAAGTTAAAATCTACAAATATTTTACAATACCTGATTTACTTAAAGCTTTTGTAATTACTAGTTGTGACATATCAATTTTATTTTGTAATAAATCAGATATAACATTCTTAACATATCTGTTTAAAAAGAAGTATCATTAATGTAAGTATTTCTAATTTATCAGAAATAATTAATCGAATGCACTACAAACGTTTCAGCTCCTTCAATATCTCGGTCAATCAATATCTTTTTCAAGGATGTCTCTATGACATTTTGAACAAGAAGACAATTGTCACGTCTTACAGTCTATCAAAAACTTAAAGGTTAATTATGAAATATATATTTGGATATATATGTGTTTATGTTATCTTTACTTCAATGCCTTTAGAATCCAACTTGTCCCATTTTTCTGTGTTAGTCCAATACAGCCCAGCATATCTTTTTTTATTAACCAATAGGTAAGGAAAGTAAATCTTTTCAAACTCCAAATTAATTGGTTTAATAAAATTTTCTGTCACATGTTTAGCTGCTTTTTTGCCTGTCAATAGTATTATAATCACTAAGTATACACACTCC